GACACGAGCCAATCAGCGGTGGGTGCAGGCGCGCGCAAGGCTCCAGGGGAAATTAGAGTGTGTTCGACTCTGAGTAGCATGCGATTCCGCTCCAATTCCGTCTCTCGACCTCGTCCTTCCGTACCTGAAAGTTTATCTTGCCACACAAGAATGTGGTGAGGTATTGTTTACACAGTTTCGTCAAAGTTGTTTTTTCGACCTGGGAAACTTTTCTCAGATTCTTTGGCACATTTAGAACAAAGAACCAATTAGAATGTATATTAAAAAAAATTTTTTTCTCTTATCTCACAACTTTATTACCAGAGCAACAAAGTCCTGGAGCATAATATGTACATTTTATATTGCCACAAAAATACAAATATATTTTCTTCACATTTAAAAACCTGAATTTAGATCTTTAAAAATTTAAGAGATTACTGTGAGGGTAAAATGAAAAGCTAATCTTTCACGGAATGGATTCTTTATTCGTCGATTTTAAGGCTGGTGTTCCAATCTGGATAAATTTTCTGCGTCAGTTTCTTGACGCCTAAAATTGTATTCATTAGATACATTTGAAGTTTACCCTCTTGCGACTTCCAATTCACCCTCTTGCGACTTTTGTGACCCCTAAAGGCTATTTTCTGTCAACTTTATTAAGTTCTAATATATTTGTTGAGTTCGACGTCCGATTGTCCTAAAAAAGACCAGTGAGATTCTTAAGTAAACTCTTTCTTGACTAAAGTTTACAGCAATTGTGACTGCCTGGATACCTCAGGGTGATCTTCTCTGGCCTGCTGTTGAAGACCCAGACTGATCGGGAGAAAAATAACAAAGTCCGAAGCTTTGGGGCTAGTTGTAGTGCTCTTTCCCAACATCTCCTGGTATAACGTCGAAGACGTTGGTGTCTAAAGCACCTTTTTTGTTTGCAGATTCAGTTGTTTTGGTGATCTTAGATGAGGAGATTGGTTAGTGATACTTGTCCAGTGGAGGCTGTCCCGTTGGCTCAAGTTTTTTTTTCCTTCTTAGCTGTTAGGTTCGCCCAGCGCAGACCTTGGAGAGGATCGGTGATCCCTGCTTGAATGTTTAGAGTCGAGAGGGTAATATAGGGTCGTTGGTCACCGGGATTTCCTGCAGCCTTGCGACGAACAACTCTGCTCGTGACGTCTGCCAGTAAACGACTGCCTTGCTTTACGTAATCTTTTAGTCGACGAATAATGTTTTCGGAAATGGTAGTAAAAATATATTTGTTGTCAAGGTAGTTTAAACTTAGGTAGCCCTTATAAGAACCGATGAGTTTGAAGGTTAAGTAATGAACGTAAATACTTATATTGACCCTGAAAAAGGCCAGAGGTGAATTTTCTAGTTATTCCTTATTATTATTCTTGATGATGGAGAGTCAGCTGTTGGTAGCTTAACTCTAAGGGCTCGGGCACATGGAACCGCGTAAAACGTAAAGCGTATCGCGTAAAAGTAAGGAAGGTTAGGTATACGCCACTTTGTGGTCACAGAGAAAAGGCGTAAAAGCCTCGCGTATCGCATAAGTGTGAAGTAGAGGGGAGTTGACCAATCTGCTGTCTTGTCAACAAAAAAAGCTTTTGAAGTTCTCAACGCAAGTGAATTCTAAGTACATGTAAAAAAAAGTTTTCAAGTATATACTTCTTTTTATTTGAGAACCGTTAATACATTTCATACAGCTTGATCATTACACTTCTCACTTTTTCTTTGAGATATTGGGTCATTGCATAGGTCGTATGGACTTTCCACAATTTGCCCAAAGTTCTTACGATTTATTTTTCATCCATGTCAGGAATTCGATTAATTATACAATTGATACTGTAATTGTTTTTGTTGACATTAACTGCTGACTGTATTTACAGGTTGCATATTTTATTTACGCTATACGCGAAAAAATTTGTCATCGCGCTTATGAGTACAAAAATACGGGCGTAACTTTATTTTTGCTATGAGTGCGAGCGAGACAGTATGTGCAAATCCAACGAAATACTCGCTGTGATTGATTTGAAAACACTTACGTGCGTATTTTTTACTCCCATGTGCGTGATGACAAATTTTTTCGCGTAAAGCGTACCTTACCTAACTTTCCCTGATCCTATAATTTTATGCGATAAGCGATACGCTTTACGCTTTACGTAGTTCCATGTGCCCGAGCCCTAACCCTCGAAGTCTGTGTACGGAGACCGTACATGAGAGAGATACGCCGTAACGCCGCTGACCAAAATATATCTCGTTTTCTGGTCGTTTCCCGGATAACCAACCGTTCATCGTTAGTTGGGAAAGTGAGCCTGGAGAATACCTTCTCTGTAGGTATGCCGTTGGAACGACCACTAAGAAGTTAGCACGTTGGCAGTTGTGGCTGCCCGTACTTTTCAGGGCTGTCTTCCCTTGCTTACATTAGTAGTAAAAGAATCCTCTGACGGCACCAGGCCAGATTGTGGTACGGCGACAAAACTCTGAAGTGTTGGAGCAGGATGTGCTCTGACTAGACACGTCTCCTGGTGTACAGTCGTACATGCTTTCGTAAGGCTGACGACGCGATGACCCGTCATGGCTTCGTCAGCTTACAAGCATATATACATATTCGCGGCGCGCACGCTTGTGCGCCGCCGCCATCTTAAGTCGTTACGCTCGCGTGCCGTGCATGGCTGACCTAGTCTGTTGAGACACCTGAATGCGCGTGGAGCTCCGTTGCCTCAAAAATACAAATCATACTCAATTCGCCCTGACACGGCAATAATCTCTCTGGGCCTTTACTGGCGTTTCTCGCGAGTGCACTCATTGACATAGTGTTAGTGTAGTCAATTTGTTGTGTATCCGATAGCGTATTAAACCCGAACAGCTGTAATTCGCGGCTCTCGTGCGTGCGTGCGTGTTTTAATTCGTAGTCGAGTCAAGTGCATGTAAATTTAGTTGTGTTCTTCAATAAAAGGGTTTTTTTTACCGCAAGGTTTTTTCCCCTCAAAAAAACGCAGTCTCTTTATTTGTTTTCCCTTTCCTTATTTTTTAACTAGGCGAGCGAGTCACCTGCGACTTTCTCGCCACGAAACATTTTGGTGCCGAAACCCGGGAGTGATCCTTGCACGCACGTGCGCGCGCGAGCTGCGATTTCTTATCGCTCTCTCTTTCGCGGACGAAATCGCGCGCGTACACGCAGTCGCCGTGCACGACGAGAGTCGCCCACGTGGATGCAGCATATTCTGCTGGCCACGCGAGGATCATCATCACCGTCAGCATCATCGACGTCGCCGTTCCCGCGCCCGGACACACCACCGCCCAGCTGCCGCTTGTCGCACACAGTCAGATAAGTGAATTTGCTATTTCTGTTCCCTTTGTCTCCTGCACATGCGTTTCAGCAGAGGACGCTTACGTTAATTGTTTCTGTCCTTCTCTCTCTTTCTCTCTATCTCTCTCTCTCTCTCTCTCTCTCTCTCTCTCTCTCGTTCTCCCTGGCGTGAATTACGTAGAGTTGCGTGTTGATTGTTTGTGTTCCCGGCACGGCGCACTGTGTGCCGAACCTGGCCAGCCGGTGCCTCGTGTTTGAGCCCTCCTCCTGTCTGTACCTTTTTCCATGTAATGTGGTAAGCCGCAGGCAGTCATGGTGTGTACGCCGATCAACGCGTGACGTCCTAAAATTGACTTAATTTTATCTTAGCATTTTGGTAATCACATTTAGTTTTTGTACACCCTAAGTGTTAATTAAATTTCAGCATCATGTCCCGAAAGTCTGCGGCACGCGTTGACTACCTCGTGCAGAAGCTGCAAACGTTTTCTTTCAAAGTGCAAAATTTAAATAACCTTTTAAATAACTCTTCTGTCGACTTCGTCAACGCGGGCCTGCGGCTTGCAGACCTACAAAAAATACACCAGGATTGCGTCCGATATTGCGATGAATTGACACTCAATCAACCTTATCACCCTTGTTTTGATGAGTTTTGCTCGGCTGAAATGACGTATTAGACGGTAGCTTCCAAAATCAAACAAATGAATCAACCTGATCTTAACAGTAGCATCACCAATACCACCATCATTGAGAGACATGAAGCCCCTAAGCTTTCAACGATCAGTGTCCCGCCTTTCAGTGGCAGCCATGAAGATTGGATGTCTTTTAAAAACTCTTTTACTGATTTAATTCATTCACGCACTGACATTAGTGATATGGTAAAACTTGCTCATCTGAAAGGTTCACTGAGGGGAGAGGCTCTGAGCAAGGTAGCAGTTTTTCACATTTCTGCAGAAAATTACACACAGGCATGGAAAGTTTTAAATGAGTTTTATGATCAGAAAAGGCTTTTATTAGAAAGACATATCGATGCCGTTATGAGTCTCCCCCCTGTTGGTAAGGCAACAGCAGCAGATTTATCCAAATTAATAGATGATGCTAAACAACACTTGAGCATTTTAGAGCAGCTAGGCGTTAACATCCATCATGAATTAATAGTGAGAAGTTTAGTTAAATGTCTCCCCATAACAACTCGTAGGAGATGGCAGGAAACCCTAGCTTTAGACAAGTTCCCGACGTTGAATGAATTTTATAAATTTGTAGAAACTAACATTTTTAACCTCAAAGCAATAGAGCAAGAGTTTTCAACACCATCAGCTAGCAATAGGAAGCGACCCTCTGACAATTCTCAACTCTCCCAGAAGGCCAAGCGAACTCCTATCGATTTTAATGCTCGCTCCTTAGTGACAAATGTTTCACCAAATTGTCTTAAATGCAACGAAGTTCATCGGCTTTATGTCTGCCCAGCATTTAATAAGCTTGCCCTTCAGGAGCGGTGGGATTTTGTAAAGAGTAACAAAATCTGCCGTAACTGTTTACGCCCTCATCCACTACCTTGCAAAAACGAAAGTAGATGTAGAAAGTGTAACAGGGATCATCACACCATTCTACATGCAGACAAGAAATCAAATACAACATCTCAACAACAGACCAAAGGAACACCAAATACTCTTACTCCTGCGACCCAAAAAACTGAAAGGAAACAATCAATTACATCAAAAACATGACTAGACCAGTACTCATTAGCATCATCAGCACATTCACCACACACACAGCTTATGCCGACAGCCATCTTACAGGTACAAAATCTCAAGGGTGATTTCATCTCGGCACGAGCGTTGCTAGATTCTTGTTCTACTGTCAACTTGATCACTTCTAATTTAGCAGAGTCATTAAAGCTACTTGTTAAAGACTGTTCAGTCTCAATAGGAGCTGTTGATGACTTATGCACTATTTCCAAAAAATGCATTAAGCTTAAATTTCAATCCAATCACACCAAGTTTGGAAAAGAGTTAGAATTCCTTATTGTCCCAAAAATCACTAACCTCGTACCAGATGAAATTTTCCCTCATGAGTTATATCACATTCCAAAAAATATACAACTAGCAGATCCTAAATTTCACATACCTCAAGCAGTTGACATATTATTGTCCTCAGGCACTACCCTAGCAGTATTAGCTGTAGGACAATTACATATCACTCATAATACGACTAACATAATATTACAGAAAACTAGTTTAGGTTGGATAGTGGCAGGAGGCTCAGACAACATATCAACCTCAAGAAAGGCGTCTTGTAATGTAGTAAAATTAGATACCATGATAGAAAGATTCTGGCTAGTCGAAGAGATAGACACCGAACCCTCAAAATCTCGCGATGAGATAGCTTGTGAAAAACATTTTGTCAATAATACTCATAGAGACCCTACAGGTCGATACATCGTGCGGCTACCTTTTCGTTGCAATAAATTTGAGTTAGGAGAATCTCGTTCTCAAGCATTAAATCGTTTTTATTCACTTGAAAGAAAATTTTAGGTAAATCCCAATTTTAAAGTAGAGTATGAAAAGGTGATGCAAGAATATATTGACCTTAATCATATTTCACTAGCTAACGACACTGTAAGAGGTTATTATCTTCCTCATCATGCCATAATAAAACCATCTAGCGAGACCACCAAGCTTAGAGTAGTTTTTGATGCTTTGGCAAAGACTTCCACAGGAATTTCACTTAATGAAGTTTTAATAGTAGGTCCCACCATCCAGGACAAAATATTTGAACAAGTAATTAAATTCCGAGCCCACAAATGCGTCATTACAGCCGACATAGCCCGAATGTATAGGCAGATTATCGTACATCCCGATGATCGAAAATATCTGCGTGTACTATGGTACCATAACTACCAAATCAGAACCTATGAACTTAATACCGTAACATTTGGCGTTTCATCAGCCCCATTTTTAGCCATACGCACGATTCAGCAGCTCGCCAACGACGAAGCATCAAATTCACCACGAGCTAGTAAAATACTTCTCAGAGATTTGTATGTGGATGATCTCATTACTGGAGCTGACACTCTCGGTGAGATTATTCAGATACGTGATGACGTGATTGAGCTGTTGAGTCGAGGCGGATTTACCATACGACAATGGGCCTCTAATCACGAAGCTGCTCTTAACAACATTGATAAGAAATTCTTTGATTTAGACTGTTTGATAAGGAAAATCCTGTTTAAAAAACGCTGGGAATCATTTGGAATTCTCAACATGACAAACTTCAATACAAGGTTCAAGTAATTGATCCTAAAGACACTTGCACTAAACGTAAACTCATATCTGAAATTTCTAAAATTTTTGACCCGCTTGGATTGGTAGGCCCAGTGTCGTTATATGCCAGAGTTTTAATTCAAGATTGCTGGAAATCTAAAATCACATGGGATGAGTCCCTGCCCCAGGAAATTCATACCAGATGGGCCACTGTTGCAGAACAGCTACATCTGCTAGAAAAACTTTCGATTGATCGTCACATCTTGATTCACAATTTTGCACGAGTCGAGATACACGGGTTTTGCGATGCAAGCATACGTGGGTATGGAGCATGTATTTATTTCAGGTCCATATATGTAAAGGGCAAAGTGTTGGTAAGACTTGCATGTACAAAATCACGCGTCGCTCCCCTCAAAAATATGACTATTCCTCGATTGGAATTATCTGCCGCATCCTTACTCAAAAAACTATACGTTACTATGCGATCTCAATTCGAGCTTCATGTCGATCGGGTAGTGCTGTGGTCCGACTCTACCATCGCACTGCATTGGATTAGCAAGGCTCCCCATTTATTAAGAACTTTTGAATCAAACAGGGTTGCGGATATTCAAACTCTCGGAGCTGAGGTCCAGTGGAGACATGTTCGAACAGATGACAATCCAGCAGACGCGTTATCCAGGGGTCAACTCCCTGCAGATTTTCTCTTAAATAACACTTGGTTTTCAGGTCCGAGTTGGTTGTCCCAAGCAGAGAACACCTGGCCACCCAGTGTGGAGATATCAAGTCGAGAAGACTCTGGGTTCAAACAACGATTCTGCCTTCTAACCACAAACTCAGTGTCTGAGGTCTATTCTCGTTTTTCATCATACCAGATTCTTATTAGAACTATAGCTTTAATTTTTAGATGGCGCACAAAACTTAACAAAGGATTACCAATCACCGTTGAAGAAGCACGAGAAGCAGAGCTGAAATTACTGCGTAGTATACAACACGAAAAATTCCCTGTTGAGGTAAAACGTCTGTCGACCGCTCACGACACAGAGTCCGGGAAAATTTCTGTTCCTTATCGAAAAACTACCAGATTCGACAACTTACATCCATTCATAGATAACGATGGACTCTTGCGCGTGGGTGGTCGATTGAGAAATGCACAACTTGCTTACAACCAAAAACATCCAGTTTTGCTTGCTAAGCAAACATCACGTAACCGATTTAATTATTCGACAATACCATCAATCTAATTTACACGGAGGAATACAATCCACTCTTTACTCAATCAGAGAACGCTTTTGGATAATTAATGGTAGAGATCAAGTTAGAAAAATTATCAGACACTGTGTGGATTATATTCGTACCAAACCTAAACCCTTACAGGCCCAAATGGCTGATTTACCGGCAGCTCGCGTAATCGAAGCCCCAGCATTTAGTAACGTTGGTGTGGACTTCTTTGGACCTCTTTATATTAAGGAAAAACAGTTTAGATGTAGAACAACCCTTAAGGTGTATGGATGCGTTTTTGTATGCATGATGTCCAAAGCGGTTCACATTGAACTAGCACATGATCTCTCTGCGGAAGGTTTTTTAGCCGCCTTTTATAGGTTTATTAGTCGTAGGGGAATACCCGAGCACGTATATTCAGATAACGGGACAAATTTTGTAGGAGCCAATAATGAATTGAGAGAAATTTATGACTTATTTAAAACACCCGAATATGAAAACCAAATCGAAAATTACGCACTTTCTAATCGCATAACTTGGCATTTCAACCCGCCTTTATCACCTCACTTTGGCGGTCTTTGGGAAGCTGCAGTAAAGAGTTTCAAACACCATTTAAAACGCATTCTGAAAGATCATACTCTCACATACGAACAAATGCAAACTTTACTCATTGAGATTGAGGCTATTCTAAATTCAAGACTAATATGCACTCTTTCTGCGGATCCCAATGACCCTCTAGCATTAACACCTGCTCACATACTTATAGGAAAGTCTTTCAAAACATTACCCGAGAAAAATCTTGTTTCAGTTCCTGATAATCGTCTATCCACCTGGAACTTCATAACTAAGGCTCGACAGGACTTTTGGAATCGTTGGCATACTGACTATCTCAATGAGTTCAATATTCGTCAAAAATGGCATGAATCTACTGGCGAAATCAAACCTGGTGCGGTCGTTATTCTCATCGAAAAGACAATTCCACACGGGCGGTGGCCGCTGGGTGTGGTTCTTGAGGTGTGTCCTGGGAACGACGGCATCGCGCGAGTAGCTCAAGTCAAAACCACGACGGGCGTTTATAAACGAAATATTACTAGTTTATGTTTATTACCGATTTCCTAAATTTAACTTGCATTTTACGTATTAGATAAGGTTTGTGAAGCGAATTAGTTCCATTAATCTCAATTTGTTTCAATCAATAATTCTAACTTAGTCGTTGTTTCATTTACTGTTCATTTTTCAATTTAATCACTGGTTCTAGTCACTCCAAAGAAAACTCGACCGATTGTCAAGATTAGTCATATACTTACTGAGATTGATTGTAATTTGTAGATTTAGTACAAATTAACTTGTAAATGCGTTCTAGTTGATTGAACTAGTCAATATTCTTATAATTCATCCCTATTCATTTATTTTATTTATGTTTTGCTCAAAGCTTAATGCTGATCTCAATAACTCTAAATCAAAGACTTTAAATAGATTAGATTAGAGCGCTTTAAAATTAGCCTGTTTAGTTATTCATTGGTCTTGTGTTTTAAATCAAACAATTCAAATAAATCAAAGATACTTCGAGCGAGAGACTAAGTTTATTTATGTCAAATTGTTAACTCACATTCATTACCATTCAATGTAAAGCTAATGCAAATTCAAATATGTTAATAGTAACATTCTGCTCATATTAAGTTATATTTAACGTCATTTCGCAGCTCTCGCCCGGAGTATGTACAGTCGTACATGTTTTCGTAAGGCTGACGACGCGATGACCCGTCATGGCCTCGTCAGCTTACAAGCATATATACATATTCCCGGCGCGCACGCTTGTGCGCCGCCGCCATCTTAAGTCGTTACGCTCGCGTGCCTGCGTGCATGGCTGAGCTAGTCTGTTGAGACACCTGAATGCGCGTGGAGCTCCGTTGCCTCAAAAATACAAATCATACTCAATTCGACCTGACACGGCAATAATCTCTCTGGGCCTTTACTGGCGTTTCTCGCGAGTGCACTCATTGACATAGTGTTAGTGTAGTCAATTTGTTGTGTATCCGATAGCGTATTAAACCCGAACAGCTGTAATTCGCGGCTCTCGTGCGTGCGTGCGTGTTTTAATTCGTAGTCGAGTCAAGTGCATGTAAATTTAGTTGTGTTCTTCAATAAAAGGGGTTTTTTTTACCGCAAGGTTTTTTCCCCTCAAAAAAACGCAGTGTCTTTATTTGTTTTCCCTTTCCTTATTTTTCAACTAGGCGAGCGAGTCACCTGAGACTCTCTCGCCACGAAACACCTGGTATTCCGCGGGAGACGTCATTGGTAAAAATAAATTTTTTGTTGATGGCATTCGTCACTCCTAGAGGTTCAGGGTGAAAGTAGACCTAGATCACTTGCCCATTGGAGAAGAGCGTCATCGGTAACCGGGATACCCAGCAGTACGAGTATCACCTACATTCTCGATGCCGCTCGATGGACTACCAGTAGACGATTACAGAAATTTCCGCGACGCTCCGGTGTATTATAACCACACTTATTTAATTCTGTTGCAGGTAGCTTCGATTTTATGTCGACGCCACCTGGTGGATCCTACTGAACTAAAGGGAAAAGCTGGCGTATTTTTGTAAAACTTTGAGCTTATTTAATGCTATTGTTATATTATTTTTCAAGATAAAAACCATAATAAAACCGTCTAGGAAGTATCAAGAATCGGTATACAAAATTTCAGCAAATCGATTCAGTAGTTTTTGCGGTTAGCTATCACAACGATTTTAGCGACTTTTCTTTATATTTTAGTAAGATATATACATTTCAATTGATTTTTTGTTTTAAATGTGCCAAAGAATCTGAGAAAATTTTTTCAGGTCGAAAAAATAACTTTGACGCAATTGTTTAAAAAAAAATTGTTTGAACAATACCTAACCACATTCTTGTGTGGCAAGATAAACTTTCAGGTACATAACTATATTTTAAACAAGAAAGCACAAAAAAATTGGGTGTAAGTAATTTTTCCTGGTTCATCACTGTTTGAGTCCGGTCTAATAGAAGCATTCTCTTGCGCTGAAAAAAATTTACGTAAAAATGGCACTGAGGTAGATTCAAGGACCAATCATGAACCTTAGAAAAGATTTCATTGAAACGCAAAAAAAAGACCATTAATTCTGGTCAATCAGCTTTGTTAGTGTAATTTTTAAATTTTTTTTACCGCGATGTTTTAGTAGCAAGCCGCGGGACGGTGAGGCAGTCCACGTGTACCCAGCCTATAGTTTAGCCAGCGTTAGGTGAGGCGGATTCAATGTTGGAACTTTTTTCTGAGATTGTATATATAGCTATACAATCTAGGGGGAAAGCTCCGCCAAGCAGACAACAGTGCAGAAGGGGCATTGCCAAAGACGGTACCCACAACGAGCGAAAATTAAAAATTGTAATATTAATAACACAAGCGCCTATCACCGAATGACCCAAGGCACTTACTAGCCACTCTATTAAATAAAAAAATTTTAATTACACAAAAGCCTATCACCCAATGTCCCAGGGCGCTTACTGGCCACTCTGTTAAATAAATAATTATCAATAAATAACACAAGCGCCTATCACCGAATGACCCAAGGCACTTACTAGCCACTCTATTAAATAAAAAAATTTTAATTAATATCACGAGTGCCTATCGTCCGATGACCCGGGGCGCTCACTGGACACTCTTTTAAATAATAAAATGTTAATTAATAGCACAAGCACCTATCACCTAATGACCCGGGGCGCTTACTGGCCACTGTTACATAATCAAATATTAAGTATCAACACAAGCGCCTATCACCGAATGACCTGGGGTGCTTACTGGCCTCTGTAATAAATAATAAAATAATAATTAATAGCACAAGTGCTGATCACCTGATGCCCTGGGGCGCTTACTTTCCTCTCTATTAAATAATAACATGTTAAGCAATAATACAGGCGCCTATCACCTAGTGACCCGGGGTGCTTACTGGCCACTCTATTAAATATTAAAACAATAAGCAGTAGTACAAGGGCCCATCACCCTATGAACAAAATGTTAATTAAACACAAGCAGCTCACTGGGTTATTGGGTGATCGGCACTTGCGTTATTATTTAACTTTTTATTATTTAATAGAGTGGCCCGTAAGCGCCCTGGGCCATCGGATAATAGTTGCTTGTGCTAATAATTAATATTTTATTATTTAATAGAGGGGCAAGTAAGCGCCTCGGGTCATCGGGCGATAGGCGCTTGTGTTAATTATTAATATTTTATTATTTAATAGAGTGGCCAGTAAGTGCTCCGGGCCACTGGGTGATAGGTGCTTGTATTATTGCTTAAAATTCTATTATTTAATAGAGAGGCAAGTAAGCCCCCGGGGTCATCGGGTGATGGGCGCTTGTGATATTAATTACTAATATACATCGTTCAATAAAGTGACCAGTAAGCGCCCTGGATCATCGTGTGATAGGCACTTGTGCTATTAATTAATATTTTACTATTTGATAGAGTGGACAGTAAGTGCCCTGGGTCGTTGGGTGATAGGTGCTTGTGATTTTAATTACTACTTTATTATTTAATAGAGTGGCTAGTAAGCGCTCTGGGTCACTAGGTGATAGGCGCTTGTATTATTGCTTAACTTTCTATTATTTCATAGAGAGGCAAGTAAGCACCCTGGACCATCGGGTGATAGGCGCTTGTGCTATTAATTAATGATATATCGTTTAATAAAGTGACTAGTAAGCGGCCCGGGTCATCGAGTGATTGGCGCTTGTGTTAATAATTAATATTTTATTATTCAATAGAGTGGCCAGTAAGCGCCCAGGGTCATTTGGTGATAGGCCCTTGTGTTATTAATATTACAATTTGTAATTTCCGCCCGTTGTGGGTATACTGTCTTTGGTAATGTGCCTTCACTGCCATCTGTTTGGCGGAACATTCTCATCAACAGAACATCAACAGATCGTATAGCTACATATACTTACGATCTAGGGAAAAAGTTCCGATATTGAATCCGCCTCACCCAACACTGAGTTTAGCTCACCTTTTGAAAAGTTGGCTTTATAACATGCTTGTCACAACAGTGCTACCAACTTTTAATTACGGAGATTATGGCTGAAAAAGTGGTGGGTAATTCAAACTTTAGTTTATATAATGTTTCTAAATTTATATTATCTTTTGTAAACTTTTTGTTTATTAAATTCACACATATATGGTTGTCTTTTCGACTGTCGGTGTGTCGGTACTTAGTAGGATTTACAGCTCACTAGAGTGAGAGAGAGAGAGAGAGAGAGGTCCGATCACGTGACCGAGACATGATGTACTTACATCATGGACCGAGAGAGTTATGGGCATGATGTAAGTAAATAAGGTGTGTGACCCAACTGATTCAAGATGAGACTGTTCCTGCGCACATCCGTTATTCCGCCATGTTGGATTTGTGTAGTCTGCTTTGTTGACTTTGAGATATACATGCACTAATGACACTCACTTGAGAATTTGAGTAATGTAATAAATTAATATTCTTAATATGTCATCATGTTCGCTTGTATATAAATATTTTCACACGAATGAATAAACAGTCAAACATCTTACTATCGTAGGTAGGGTATGCTCTGTACATTTACGTTACGGACAGTTACGAGAAAAAGTTAGAACACTTAATCGTCCCTGGCGATGCAAATATATTTGTTTGATCCAAATCATCTGTTCCAACAATAAAATTAGACTCCATATACGTACAGGAGACACTATTTTTTTACAGGATTTTTTTTTATCTAAAAAATAATTTAATCTGATGTAGAAATCTCAGATGTGCAACTAATAGAAAAGTACAGCTCGAAGCCTCACTGAATACAGCAGCCTTTAAAACATTGAAAGTTCTGTGATTTTCTAACTATTGTTGTACATAAGTAATGATCCCTTTAAAATATTATCTAATAGTAGAGTGAATTTTTTATCAATTTAAAAATTTTTATTTATTTTGGTTATTACGTAATGTTGTTGCGCCGTAGCGTACGGAACGCCTAGTTAAAAACTTTTTGTCACAAGTTTATGTTTTTTGTTAAATCATAATACGAAAAGTCAATAAAACTTTTCGTCTCTATGGTCCTCTAATTTTTTTAAAATTCTGTAATATACTCATCAAACAAAAAAAATATTTTACCAATTAAAGAAATAANATATACTTATTCATGATTTTTTTACCATAAATACGTACATGACTTACTTTAAATAATTTCTTTCTTAAATCCGGCAATAATTAATGTTTATTGTTTCATCACTATTCGAAATAACTGATGTTTTCTCTTTTTCAGCAACAATTTTTAAGCATCACTTTCAACATTGTAACGTAAGCTAAAACCTTTTTGAAACTATTGACAATCACATATTTTTGAAATACCGCTACATTCGGATTGGCTCAAATCCCAATATGGACGATGTGTGGATGAGTCACGCTATTGGAGAAACTCGGACTCATCGGAAAGTTGTGCCATCACACACCTTATCTACTTACATCATGATCACGTGATCAGTTCTCTCTTTCACTCTAGTGAGCTGTGACGGAAGAGATTCTCGCCAATCTGTAGACCGCCAGACTCTACGGAATCCCACCCTGAGGCCGCGGTTAGATGAGGCGGAAAGTACCAGTGGAATGTCACTGCCGAAAGAGAAAAGAATTCTCCCACCACCACTCTACGTGTTCCGCTCCCGCTGGGAGAAATGTCCATCGTGCACATAGTTAGAGCAATGATGCGTAATTATAGCATCAGCAAAATAACCGAATGACACTTGGTAACATTGCAGTAGAAGCGATTTCCAACCTTTCGTCTATTTAAACTAATGCTCCCCATTCATCGAGAATCGAGATATGGGGCGATGAAAAAAATTTTTTTTTTGCTTGTTATCCGAACCAAACTACGATTGACAGAAAGGTTTCACCTAACGTATATCACACAATTTTTGCCAGCCGAAACGTACTGGCTGATTTAAAACACGGAATTATTTTAATTGAAAAAAATTTTTTTTAATAATGTAGCTTGGTTCGGATAACAAGCAAAAAGAAAATTTTTTTCAACGAGCCATATCTCGGTTCTCGATCAATGGGCAGCATTAGTTTAAACGGACGAAAGATTGGAAATCGCTTTTACTACAATGTTACCAAGTGTCATCCGGTTATTTTGCTGATGCTACAATTACGCATCGGTGCTCGAACTAACATGGAGCGTAACAAAGTGGAGCGTAACGGCGGAAGCCGACTTAATTATGAAATAACGTTATTCTTTGACTATTATTAAATTTTCTCGATATTTAAGGATAATCATAGCTATGATACTAATGTATCCATCGTAATGTATAATGAGTAAGCATTAATAATTCATATCAAATGCATAACACCGAATGTTTGCCGCTGGAAAGCTATGCCTCATTGGCTGTCATGACGCGGCCAGTCTGTTCCGCTCCATGTGCACGATGGACATTTTTCCTGGCGGGAGCGGAGTACATATAACTCATTAGAGTAGCTGGGTCCGTACCATTTAACTTTTCTTCGCTTTGCGGGCCTATGTTAAAACATAGGTCCGCGAAGCGGAAAGAGTTATATGTTACGGCTCCTGTGGGGGTACTCTTTTATCCTTCCGGAAGGAACTCCGGAAGCGGGCTGTGGCGTTCTGCTGGCTATTTCCGCCCCATGTAACCGTGGCCTGTACTGCCAATATTACACAGTGCGGGAAATTCAAGATCACTAACAAAAGAAACAAATCCTATTACATACTGACAAAAGAATTACAGAACCGAAAATTTATATTCAAATTTACTGCCTTAGTACATTTGAATTTTCTGCGTTATGTAGGCAGCATTGTGAGTTCTGAAGTAAAAACTTTTAAAGCAAGTCATAAAGTACACTTATCTTTGCTTGTTAACTGTCCTCTCTGATTTACAGATGATAATTTACTACGTTTTGAAACCAAACCCTTTTTTCTAGAAACACCTGCTTATTGAAATACTATATGCGGTCAAGAGTAAAAACTGCTCAGAGGTGACACAAATTTTGGCAGATATAAAAAAGAATCGAAGAAATCGTGTAAAAAAAATCAAAGCTGTTGAAACACAAAATGTGTTAGCTCTGGATGTCGTAACAGCTAGTAGTGGCATTATTAATCAAGATAGTCTTCTTCCTATGGTAATAATAATCAGAAAGTTAATTTCCTTGTTCAAAGACAAGAGTTCAATTGAATTATTGAAAGTAAAACAATTTCATTTTAATAAAATTACCAAGCTGATACATAATCAAAGTATGACATCAATCATAAATAACTGTTAAAAAGAATTTTTATAAATAAAATTTTAAATACGTTAAAATTAAGCAAGTACTTGCAAAAAAATTGTAATGTTTTAAATAAAATTACTGTTGTTTCTTTCTGGGCAAAGTTTCATAGTTTGAAATGAACTTCCAAGATTATCAAACCACAAAATAATTTTTTTTCAACTTAGAAGAATGGTTATTAACTATTTACAGGAAAGAATACAAGAAAAAACATTTGAGAATACAGGATGTGAAACCGTTCAATTGGGCTTGGACTTAAAATCAGAAGCCACTTTCCCTCGCCATAATTATATTGACAAATCTACAATAAATCAGCAGGAGTTGATGGATAAGTATGGCACGGATGTAACTTGCCACGGGTTTATTTTATCAACTAGCATAGCTGTGATAAGTCCAAATCACACAACAGTTCAAACTTCAGCTACTCATGGAGTTTCTAGTGTGGAAAGTACTGTCTCTTGTACAACCCAAAAAAATCACATGCTTCAACAGATAAACGAACAGCCGACAGTCAGTGATATTCACCACTCACTATTACTCAAAAGAATGCTACAAGCACCAGTTGGAGTTAGCTTAAGTCACATGGCTAACCATCCAATCGGTAAGTATTTTTGTAATAAATTCAGAATACTCATTGAGACGCTGTATTCATAACTTGATATTTTGAGTTGTTTTACATTAATTGTATTGATTAAATAAAATTATTTTGAAAACAAGTTTAAAAAATATAATTTCAGAATTAGGATCATCTCATAGCACCATATCAACCAAGACTGCATCTGAAAGAGATGAACAGGAGGTATTACAAGCTATTGCAGAGTCTTCAGGCGTAGGGAATGCTGGATTCAACATAGATTTACTTCTACAAGAAAAACCAGCTTATAATTTTAAAATGAATAATACCTTGGTTAGTCACATTATAAGTTTCAGTTTATTAAATGCATGAAATGTTTCGAAAAAACATAAATTTGGTAGTTTCTTAGTTAGGCCGGTTAGTGAGATGCTATTCGCTTTGAGCGCAATTCCGAAATCGCGCCCCCACTGGGCTCTTTGAGAACGATTGGTCGTGATTAGAAAAGGATAAGGGTAAACGAGGGTATTATTGCGGTTGCTCCAATTATTGCGGCACTCTCGAATAATGCGTATATTTTCATTGAACTGATGAGTTATGGATAGTAAATACTTGAAATTATTAAATCAAGTTATAGAGTACCTAATTCATTGAACTTCAGTTCAAAAATAGCCTTAAAACCTTTACATTGGTATAACAAAAAATCTCGTCCGCAATAACTGGTGCACACATAACCTCTTTCACTATGATGGTATTATTGCGGATACCGGGTTGATTTAGCATTGAAATTGACCACAATAATACGCGTGCACAATAATACATACAGGCCCGCAATAATACCAGCATTGGCAACTGAACTTTAAAACCTCTTTTTAAATCGATAGTCATGAGTTTATACATTTATAAAAAGGGAATTCAATAGTTTTTGAGTTCAACAGTAATAATAAAAAAAAATCACAACGATTTGACGCACTTAATTAATAAGACAATCGTTTAAAGCTAACCACTAAAAAAAAACCCAATAATACCCCCGTTTACCCCTAGTACTATGAATTGATTTTCATATGCTTGTAGGAAAGCGATATTGGGTGTGTTCCAGTAACGCTCTCCGACAACTTACCGACAACTTCATTATGTCTTACGATATCTTGCGTCATGTTTAAGTTGTCGGTAAGTTGTCGGAGAGCGCTACTGAAACACACAGATTTAAGGGTCGGCCACTTGGTGAATGGAGCCGGAAGCTCGATTTTATAACGAGGATGACGACCAATCGTTTTCAAAGTCTTGGGGGCGCGATTTTCGAATTGCGCTCAAAGCGAATAAGCTGCATTAGTTGAAAGTGCGAACATATTTTGTAATTGGTCTGTTACAAACATACCGATTTGCTAAAAATATACATATATTCTTGAGAACATCAACGTACATCAAAAGTGAGCTCCAATTCTTTAAAATAATTTGCCGTTTACTTATAAATAATTTTTTTTTGTCATATCAAGAAAGTTGAATGTATTTTTATACTTTTTATTGTTATAAAGAAAGAGAATGAGATCAAACTTTTAACCATCACAGTTGACGCCGTACTTAGTCAACAAAGTGTCATAGTTGCCGAACTTTCTCAAACGAAATGCATTGCAGAAAGGAGTTGGTTGGTACTTCAAAAAGAATTTCAATAGCCGAGACACGTAGTGTAGTTATTTATTATGACTCTAACAAGTGGTGATCCCGAAAAATAGCCGCATTAGATGTTTTGAGAGCTCATTTGCTATGTAGTTGAGTATTAACGGCACTGCTCCAGAGATAACATTTTAAGTTGAATGTTCGATTATTTCAATCTCCGTTAAAACGTACGGATACTCCACCATGGACGCGTTGGTCGATTTTCTTATCCTGTGTAACTACAGTTTAAAAAGCGAATATAAACTTATGCTTGTGAAGGGAGTTGAGATGCAATTTACTTCACGAAGAATATGTTTAAAAAAAATGTACGTTCTAAAGAAACACTCCATCGATGTAGACACCAAATTTAAGGTTGTACGGGACACCCTTTTAACGATAAAGTGATCGTTTTAAACAAAATTTTTTATCAAGTCTTCTTAATACTTAACGTTAACATTACTAATAAATTATAAACATATAGTGTGGCTAAATCAAGAAAAAATTTTCTTTGAACAAATTACTCAATTATTTATAACAATATAGCCATTAAAAAAATGGACTTAACGCTTGTTAACTTGTATTATTGTTTTACGATTTTGATCCAAAACCTCTCAGTCTCTTGAGTAATTAATTATATACAATCGTAACTTTTTTTGATTGTAAAAAATGTATGGTTAGTAGAACTCACATTAGTACGTTTAGTACGATTTCTTCTGGGAGCTTCTTCATACCCACTCACCCTATCGAAAACAACTCCGAAACATGCTTAAGTGCCACATACATCATTTAAAGTACCTCTTGACTGCCTCTTAAGTACCAATAAAATGTAGCACCTGTACTGCTGGAATATTTACCATATGCCGTCAATGTTTTATTCGTTAAATGTCCTTAGTCTCACTAAAGTGCAGCTCAAATTTGACTTAAATACACCATACAAGTATTACTTAATTTTATTTTTATTCAAGTCTAGCATAAGATCTAACAAATTTTTCTTCATTTGTTGGCTGTAAGATTGTCAGCCAAGTATTGCACAATAAAGTAGTATATAGGCTACGGCGGTTTTGGGTCACCACTAGCTGCCCCCACTAATGGTGGGGATAGTACAATGCTAAGTCAGTGGTTGAGAGGGGAGCCTTGAGTTAAAAATGCAGGGGTCAGAGCGTTCTATATATTGTTAGGTAGACGGTTGAAAAGTCGTGGAACGTATGAGTTTCTATGCAATACAAAATGCTGCTTTGCGTTGCTAGGTGTTGTTGTTGACAAAAACAATAGTAATTTAGTCGAGATTGTAACCTCCAGCTGAATACGTCTGTTCATTTCTAATAATAAAAGTTTGGTTATTTTTTGTAAAGTAACGTGTTTCAATTTTAACTGGTAAGCATAACGATTTTAGAGGCTCGTCTGGGATACGAATGTCAAGAGTTTCGAGGTTAAAGAAACCCTACATCAGATACACACTAACGGAAGAGACTGAAGCAATGAAGCGACAGCTGAAAAAATCTAAATAGCGGTATCTGAAGTTAGAATAGCCGCTAAAAAACACAAGGCGAGTAGTGAAAACTCGGGATGAAACGATAGTGAAATTCAAAAGTGAACTCGTCGAGCTGCAGAAAAATCGCGACGATTTGCAGGTTCAGCTTGACGACGTACGGTAGAAAATGGAGGACACTCTACGCAAACAACAAGAGATTTATGAGGGGACACTCCAGCGGTTGAGGTCAACTTTTTCTGATGCTTACGAAAAGATTGTGGGTCCAAAGACCGGAATACACTTTTGCCCGAACGGAACTTCCTTTTGAACGAAAGACGGTTACGACAGAAGGAAAACACAACTTCTGAGAAAACACAATAAATCCGTGGCAGACANTTTTTTTTTTTTTTTTTTTTTTTTTTTTTTTTTTTTTTTTTTTTTTTTTTTTTTGTATCTACAGAGTTTACAAGCATGTAAAAGGATATTTTTCAGTCGATAATCGTTCAAAACGTAATTTCAAGTTCCACGCTATCATCTTGACAAGAGTTTTTAAAGTATCATGACACTCAAACCTCACCACAAAAATTGCTGTTAACTTTAAAAAACATTACTTTTAGGAACATGATAAATCTAAAGGCTGCTATTCATGTTTATAGTCTACTGTAGTGTTTTAACTGTAAATCATTTTGTAATTATTCGTATACCCCTTACCACTACCAACCTAACCTTAAAAACTTACGCCAACTCCATAATATTGTGTCTGTATCGAGGTATTATCTTAAAAATGTAAATAGTACCTTAAATATTGTACACTCGTGTATCTTACAACACATTTCAATAATAAATGTAATTCTGTGCTAGTTTAAATTTAATCTTCTGCCTGTAAACAATCATTTTTTCATTTAAAAATGTTTTAAAAATTTGGAACTTGTCAGCAATTTTAAATAAACTCTTGTAATCTAACTTTTTTATGTTAAAAACGCTTTCTTGGTAATTAATATACCTATTGAGTTCAAACATAACCTCTAAAGATGTTATTCCCGTAATACAAGCCCTTTAACTGCGCATCCCGATGACAATTTTTAACGATCTATGAAAAATGGCCTAAGCTGTATGAATTCTTAACTTTCAGACATCAGGTTTACAAATTTTTTATTATTTTCATGATATTATTAATCAATATTTTTCCCTTTCATAATATTTTATTAAAATCCTAAAACTCAATTCAACACTTCCAAAGCCTCTAACGATTTTATGTACAGATAAAAAAACTAATAATACGTTAAACGTCTATAACTCTATCTGGAAATCTACTTCATTACACCTTGGAACTATATAATTAAAATTCACTAACAAATATATTCTAGGGAACTAAAAACTAAACAAATAAATGGATACAAGCACACCTGAAAATTCACGTTCCGTATGCTTTATCACCTGCCAATCTGTATGGATATCCAGCTGCCTTTCCAGGTTATAACCCTTCTCAGTTAAAAATTGATAGCTATAATTATACCTATAAATTATAGCTATAATTATAGCTATAAATTATAGGCATATTAATACCTATCAATTTTTGACTGAGTTTGTCCTGTTAAAAATTTCAGCGTTGTGTAAATTCTGAATCAACATTGACTTTGAAAATTTAATAAAAGCTGCATTAACGCTGAATCGAAGCTAAATCAATTATGAATCAACGTTAATTTGGCAGAAGAAGGGACATTTAAATATGGCCCTAATTATTACGTTAATTCGATAAATGAGATGGAAATTCAACAATTTATTTCACAAAAACGATTTATTTCTTTATTTTTGCACCTCAATCCATGGTGTAAAAAATACATACGGTGTGCTTTTTAGCCACCGAATCAATCGGCCAATCAGGGGGCTTGGAACAAGCGACCTTCTATATTGGATTTTCCACCAAAGAGTGTAGAAAGCGCGTTGTTCAACTACTTACACTTTATTGCTAAAAATAAATACAACTCACCTCGAAAAGCAGTAATAAATTAAACGCCTCGTACGTACGATAACGTAAATAAGATTGCCAGAGATGAACAAAAACTAGTATCTGATGTCAAAAATTCTCTCAAAAAGACAAAAAAATTAAAAAATTTGTTTGTTGAAATATTTAATATACTGTGTTCATTGTATATTTTGCAAATAATCAGATGATTATATAGAGTGATAAAAATATATATAAAATAAT